GTTTTATTTTTAGCTTAGTTTGGATTGGATTAGATTCAATATTTGTGTGGAACAGAAACATGTAAATAGTGATTTTATACTTTATTCCGTTTTTATTCAATTTTGGTATCTATTTCTTGCAAGTTATGTTATGATTTACAGCATCATAGGAAGACTATAGTTATACATATTTGAATGGAATCATTTTTTTTTTGTTTTTGTCTTAGCGGGACTCTTCCTCATGAGCAGCGTGCGCGGTCAAGGCGATGTCGCGCAGCTGTAGTCTAAGTCAGTAGGCTCCTACCTACTGTCCCTTTCCCTTCTCCCTAGTCCCTCTGTGACTCGAAACTAGTATAGCTTTTCTAGTATATTTACGTTTGTAACTCGGAAATTTTAGTTAATAAATTTCCTTGTTATCTCGTTCATTGCTTGTATAATTTGTAATGAGTGAGTTAAATTTGTTTCATTATTTGTATCTAGAGGTTTTGGTTGCGTCTATTTAGTAGATAATACAAGTGTCCCTAACTTATTGAAGCTGACTGTACATATCATTTTGATGCGATTCTTATAACCAATATACGATTATTTTATAACGATAAACCTTGACCATAAACTTGTCTATCATATTTGTTTATTTAATAGCTAAGAACTTTTTTGTAGTATCTAACTGTGTACTTTTTGTAGTAAAAAGTCTCATTATACATATTATATGAAGTATAAACAATTTTTTTACAAGTCGATACCAATCTACGCCAGATTTTTTGCAAACACTTATTTAAGAAATGTTTTTTGTTTTATATTAGGTACCTACACTTCTTTAACTCGTCGAGTACCGTCAATATAGACACAATTATAGAACAATAGGTTGCGGTCACCGGTGACCGCTTGGTGTTTGACATTTTAAGCCTTTACAGTTATTAAAATAGTTTTTAGCGTCCACTTATTTTAATTAAAAATATAAGTAAGTATATGTCTAATTAAAGTAAAATGATTGGTGCAGTACCATTTTTGTTTAATAAAAAAATGAATATACTATCTTGATTTTTTTATTGATTTTATTGTAATTTATATATTTATTTAAGCTTCATTCACTGAATGTACAATTAATAGGTGGACTTAATGCCGCAAGCTTTTTCTTCCACTGACCTGAGTCTGTAATTGTTAATTTATTTTACTAACGTTAATAGAGATTCATCTCGATAAGTACCTACCTACATAATATGAATTTAATTTCCTATATTATATTACTAGCTGTGCCCGCGACTTCGTTCGCGTAGAATAGTGACTATGAGCAGCGTTTTTTTTTTAAATATATACTTATTTTTATTTTAGATTTGGATCATAATCACAGTCATTTTGGGTAGCTAAAAAACCTACTTTACTGTAATGCTTCTCTATATACAATATTAGACGTATGGCCATCGGCGGTGAAAGCATACAGGCTGCTGGGATTGCTAACACGGGACAGAGCCACATACAACTGACCGTGCGAAAAACAGCTGATACTTAAATCTATACCCACAACTTTTAGAGTCTGATCTTGAGCTTTATTAATTGTCATGGCGAAACATAGGCTCACTGGAAACTGAATTCGTTTAAAATTAAACGGAAATTTTTTTGGAATGAGAGGAATCTGAGGAATAAAACCACTATCATCTTTTCCGCACCCTGTTAAATATATATATATTTATAAGCCATTTCTGAGATTAGCGTGAACAGACAAACAGACAAA